TTTTTAAGACCAATTGCCTTGGTTTCTTCTACAGAGTTACAGTTAATATATAAAAGACAAGATTTACTTGTAAGAATTACTGTTTTATTTTTTGCCATGCTGAAGTTTTAAAAAAATATATATTCATCAGCAGTGTATAATTCTTCTTTATATTTATGTGTATCATCCATACACTAAAGACTCCTCTTCAGATCAGCTTGCTTTAATTCAGTTGTTAGCTGAAGCGGTGGTTTGGAAAGAAATATTTCTTTGTTTAAATTACCATCCGAATTAACAATTTAAATAATTTATATGCCACTTTCATATTTAAAATTAATTAAAGGCAGATAGAATGCCAGATTCTATTATTCCCAGGATTTGCTCCAAGTAAGGACCAGAGCCAAGAGACAAGCCCTTCTCTTCTGTAAAGAAAATTTTCCTTGAGAAATATGTAGAACAAGTTATCCAGCTTCCTATCAAATAGGAAAGATAAGAATATATATGATGTTGTATCATGTTTGCCAGATCAGCTGGACATTTAATGAAAAAGAGTCAGGGCCTGATCCACCTCTCCCATAACTGACTGGAAGGCTTTCTTTCCGTCAGCTTCAGTGAGAATTGGATCTAGCCCCATCTGCATGTTTTCAGGCACAAGACCAATTTTCATTTCCTGACCTGTGTGTATTTCCATTGAGAACATTACTATTGCACAGAGAGAGGAACAACTTATCAAAAGATTACAAATATCCAGCACTTTTTTTAGTTAACATTCTGCAGATACAGTAACTTTACCCTATTTGTTATACATTTCTATCCACATCTTAAATGTTGCAGTGTATTAAAGAACAACAAAAAAAATAGGAAGTGCTTTATTACAAAAACTGCATCTGCCATATTTGCATGAATGCATTATCAGACACATGCATTCATTCATGCACACATAAGCCTTCATCTCTGCTGCAAAGACAAACTTTCTAGTGTACATGAATCGAGAAGATCTTCACTGCAAGTCTTTATTTATGTGATCACAAATAATCAAATAGTACTACTGATTATAAGCCAGATCATTGCAGATTTCCAGAATCAGTCCCTTAGTACTAGTTAACGTGTTAAATAAATGTCATAATTCATCTGGACTGCCTGTTTAGGTACCTGCAACCTAACCTGAGGCACTTCATGTAAATTTTTCAGCAACTTCAGCTTTAAATAAATTCTCTTATGAAATATTAGAACCTTAGGGTGTTATTGTAAGAGTAACTTCACACCAATCTTTTGTGAAGTGCTCTGAGCCCTCACAGTGTCTTTTCCATTCTCAAAATAACCAATAAAATATTTATTAAAACAGCCTGAACCACACATGGTGGTGTAGGCTGAAATTTTACTCTTTGCTTATTACAGTAGCATAAATATCCTAAGTATTATTTGTATGAAAGCTATATTCTACAATACAAACCTCATTGGGGAAGTAATACATTAGATCTGTAATACTTTCTGTTGCCAATCTCATCAGGCTGATTTGGAATTTGTTGCCTGGGCAGAGTGGCTCACATGTTTACTGGCCCTGACAGGTGCTGGGCATCTTCCACACTCATTAACGTTAATGACTTCAACAGCACACAGGGAAAACTGGATGTTGAAGTACGTTTCCTCTTAACAGGTATTCCCAAGTTATCATTTAACAGAGTAAGTGGTGTCAATTCTCTTCTGCAATCACAAAAATAGCCCGTAACCAACCCCTTATCCCTTCATTGCAAAAATAACCCAATTAGTTTCACACAAAGTCCTTGCTAGAGTAAGGCAAGAAAAGAAATTGTATTGTACACAGAGGTTTCCACATAAAAGCTGAGTTTCTTGCCATAAAACTAGTCACATCCTCACCGGAACAGAGGAATTAACATGCTGGAAACAAGCCAGTAATTTTTATAGAAATACGTGCCTTTAAGTAAGCTCTAAATCAGTACTTTCACAATAGCTACAGCTTTGGCATCATTTCTATCCCAACAAGCCACAGCTGCTGAAATGGAGATTTCTGACTTCATATTAGATAAGTAATGAGAAGTTTTATGCAGTGGTGCCAGAGCCTGTCCTTTGATATCAGCACAGCATATTATGCTTGTTGACTGGCTACAACCAAAAGATATGCCTTTAAATCACACTAGTTAGCTAAAAATATTCAGGAGAGAACTTCACAGAGACTTATGCCATGACGTTGGACTGTCAGCTAGGATATGATGAGACTGAGACCTCACAGGCATCTGTGCATTCATACAAACTCAAGAAATTAGGAGGACTGAATCTTTAACTACAGAGAGACATCTACTTTGATGCCTGTCCAGACACTAGATCTGCACTATTAATATGACAAAGTCCTGTACCCTGGCTTCCACCCAACAAGACAGAAGTACGGAGCCAGAGACCTCACAGAAACCTGTGCCTTCATATTAACCTGCCATGCAAAAGCTCCTGCCCTAATTGTCTTTCAATGAGTATAACATACAGCCATTCGAAAGCAGAAAAAGAAAAGATTAAAACCTCTAAAAATTAGGTGGAAGAACTGTTGCAGTCTTAAACACTCATCACTTTTAATATCTAACTTTTCAGGACCTTCCAAGGGAAAATCTAATTGTGCATTTCCACAGTCACATTAAACATAACAGTTCAATTAAAGAACCATCCTTTTCCTCTTCACTAGGTCTCACGCAAACATTTCTTGCCTTTACAATATCATAAGACGTTTAGATATAAGTCACTGAGCAACACATTTTCCAAACTGAGACTAATGTGCTGTTTGCTGGAAAGAATTTGAGGGAAATCAAAAAAGTGATTGCAATAGAATTAGCAAGCAAAATGTTGGCTGCTGGAAAACTGCTCAGAAGTTTGGAATCTATATCTATATCTATATCTATATAGTAATTTGGGGAGATGGTATTAAGCTGCAGGATAAATGCATTTACTATAAATTTACCTTAATCAACCCAAATGAAATGTTTTGAATATGAATAACTGTTTGCTCTCTATTAGTAACTGTTTGATATCAAATATTGAAGTTCTTTGATTTTTAATGAACTCCAGAGAAGAGATCGAGATCACTCTGGTAAACTTTTCCAGAAAATACTTAAATGACGAAATGAAATATATTTTTTTTCAGAAATGAATATTACTAAAAATCAGGAGTTTTACAGTTCAAAATGCCTATACTAATTTCCAAAATAGGGTTTTGTCACTTTGAAGGACACTGGAGAAAGTCTGCATACAGATGTCCCAAAAACTCAAAGCAAATATTTTCTGAGTGTTATTTTTCTGTTCACATTATTACAAAAAGTAATTGGAGAAAAAAATATTTCAGGAAAACCTTTCTCTTCTTGATGTCTGAAAGGAGTTCTTCCTGTTTTTATAGTGCTGGATCTTTACATTACTCATCACTTTCCACTTATGTTCTTAGTATTTTTCATTCCTTTCTTTTATTTTAAATTAATTGCTAATTTATAATGCTCTGATTTCCATGTCTCATTAAATAAGATAATCATGTATCACTGCCTCATGACTACAAGAGTCTAATATTCTACAGCATCAATCCTTGAGTTGTTTCCAGATTTCTCTTAAGGCAGAAAAAGCTGAACGGCAGCAGCTGCTTTATTCATCTTTTTAGTCTTTGATCCTCACTTAGAAGGCCTAGAGAACTGTTTAATGTGTAAGAGAAGACCTCCCCATACCGCTATGTGAGAATCACTGCTCGTATTGGGTAAGATCCAAAGACCATTAAAGTAATAGAGAATCCTTCTACTGTCTTCCGTGGAGTTTTGTTAGGCCCAACAGGTGAAAAACAGCCTCACCGAGATGAAAGTTCACTGGAAACACTTCACAGTCCTGACAGTGATCAGCGAAAGAAAGGGATGTTCTTTCCTAAGCTGCAAGGCTAAATTTCATGGAATGTTTCGCAAAGAAAGGGACCTTTAAAGGTCATCTAGTCCACACTCCCTGCAGTGAGCAGGGACATCTTCAACAAGACCAGGTTTCTCAGAGCCTCGTCCATTCTCATCTTGAATTTTTCCAGGGATGGGGAAACTACCACCACTCTGGGCAGCCTGTTCTAGTGTTTCATCACCCTTATTGTAAAAAATTTCCTCCTTACATCCAGTCCAAAACTACCCTCTTTTAGTTTAAAAACATTACCTTTTGTCCTACTACAACAGGCATGCTAAAAAGATTGTCCCCAAATTTGTCGGATCAAACCTGAAAACTGGAGTATTCTCCACTTCAGATACTGTTTCTCAATGTTTAAAAAAATTAAACTGTTTTTCCTCCTGCCTGGAAACTGGGTATGGTTTTGGAATGCTTTGGCTTTGATGGCACATGTGGCATGCAGGGAATAAGCAATGGTTAGCCAAATCTAAGAGACAAAGTCTACAGGGATGTATGAGTGCTTAAGAAATAGACCTCAGTCAGCATTTTGCAAGGGGGGACTGGGAAGAAAAGTGTTTGTTTTAAATGCCACAGAAAGCCTAAACACACTTCAATCTAAAATCAATTAATATTTTTCCGTTTATACTGGAAACATTATCAAAACTTCGCAACTGTGCAACTGTGACATGACTAAAGATGCCGACATTAGCCTTGTAAATGAAACCAATATAATAAAAGCTGTTTTCTTTCTTGTCCACAAAGTACTAAAATTCTAGTTCATTGCTGTAAAATTTCCTGTGGTGCTTATCTTCCTAACCATTCATCTCTCTACAAATTAGATCCTGAACCACCCATCAGCCATACTCCTATGCAAATTGTTTTCTTTTGCAGAGCTAGCAAGTTGATGATCTCAGTGGCTCTGCAGGGCTACATACACCAGAGCCCTAGGCAGGCAACTTACAAGGCTGATGAAGAGCACCAAACAGTGCTTTTTGCAAGATATCCATCAGAAAGAGACAAAAAAGATAATCACAACATAACAAAATACAAATCCAGCATAAGTGAAAGGAATAAGTCACATCTTACTTCATTTGAATTTTCTGTTGTGATGTTTTTATTTTTCAGCTTTTTCTGCAGCAGTTTGGTTTCATATTCTGGTCTGGAATGCTCCTGAAAAAGGAAAAAACAGGTAAATATATCATTATAAGGGGGGGGAGGGGAAGTTCTGGTCACTTATTCACAATCCAAGGCACCAAGATGATTCAGCATAGCAGCACCTTTCAGACTAGTGGGATCACTGCCTAAAGGTATGGGATGTATTATAGGATGCAGGGAAAGA